ACTGAAGTGAATTGATTTTGCATTTCTGTTTCTACTTTAGTAATATTATAATTTATTAATCCATTTTTATGCTAGTTTATGCTCTTTAATATATTTTTTTGGCTGCATGTTCAGTAGATAATGTCATATTTTGACTGTCTGTGATACATGAATATAGTTCATACATTGATTTCTTTTACATTTCAGCACCCCCCTCCCGACACATATTGTTCCAGGTCCTACCCTGGATGTACACTACCATATGCATACCCATCACATTTTTTATTTTTGTTATTTTTCTTTTTAGCAGTAAAATCATGACTACACAGATACAAATGTCTTACTGAGCATAGTGTGGAAAAATTTCATGTGCATGTTACACCATAAGTTTTAACTTTTGAGATCAATATTTATTCTATTATTTATTTTCCTGTGCTAGAAAATGGGATTTGGGGTTTAACTTCATAGATTACTGTAAAAATATATCTGGAGGACTGAAATATATTAATGTAGTTTTCATTCGAGAAATTAGCAGTGACATATTTGAATAAGTAAGTTGTTACTTTCCAATTTTTAAACTGGACATTAATTTTTGTTTCTTCAACCAAACTCTTTACAATTGCCCTCACTGGACTTTGGAAAGAGATATAATATACATTAATCCCCTATACCCACCCAACACCAAATACACATCGGGTTAAAGAAAAAGGCATTTGCCATTCAGTTATACAAAAACAAAAGTCAAACCAACCTAATCAATCTTAAGTCCTATTATGCTCCCACCCTCCTCTCTCTCCCCAAAATTTGAAGATTTATCCCCAAATCTCTCTTCTCTTCACCTGTGCAAAGTAACAACCCTCCTTTTTCTTCCTTCATTTGATTTTTAATATGAATTTTAATTTTAACAAGCACAACTTGTTTCAATCATCAAGATAGAAGATTATAAAAGTTTATTGTTTGAGATAATAATTGTATTGGCTAAAATGTGTTTATTTTATTTTAAATAATTATTTACAGTACGTTGGTTAGAAGCAAAAAATACTTGAAATTATTGAACTACATCACAATTCAACTTGAATATGACGAAAGAGCAAAGTACTAAAACTTATACATTGTAATCTTGTGGAGAAGTTAATAGAAAAATAAGCATTTTTGTTTCAAAGTTTGGCCACACTGTAACAAAATCCTGGCTTGTTTGCTTATCTTGATTAATTCTAGCAATGGGTTTTCATGTTCTCTGAGAAAGAAAGGAAGATAACAAAATTTGTAGGGCTGAAAGTTTTTAAATATTTTTGAGTTTGGAGGATACTCGAATAATTGTTAGTTTTTGGCTATTTAGTTATCCAATCAAATTCAGTTTAGAGTTTGTTCTTTTTGTAGCTGAGACCCTTTTGCCCTTTGAAGTTTGCCATCTTCTCTCTGTTTCTTTTTCAATCATGATTGGAAATTTCACTTCCATGAATGTGAGAAATAAAAATTGTAAAGGATAATACAGTTAAGAATTGAAAGAACAATTTAAGGATTGCTATTCTGCAATTGATGATTACCTTTTTGCTTTGGCATTCTCCTTAAGTCTATTCAATCATGGTTGAACTTTACTTTCTTGAAGCTTTATTGTAGCTGTAGATCTGGCTAATGAGTTTTTGGGCATTTGCTCTGTGTGTGTGTGTGTGTGTGTCTGCGCAGGGAGAATAAGAATTTGATAAAAGAAGTTTGGTATTTGGTTGTCAAGTGCAATGGCTTCAACAGGACAACCAGCGTCATCCTTAAAACGATCTGCAGTGAGAGATGAGGATCAGCTTATAATAACACCTTTGGGGGCTGGTAGTGAAGTGGGACGATCTTGTGTTCACATGTCTTACAAGGGGAAAATTGTTATGGTACAATGATTATAGAATTTATGCTATTTTATTTGTTTTTCCTTTGATGTCTCAATTCTTCTTTTTATTTGCTAATTATATTTCTTTCTTTTTTTAATGTTAGTTTGACTGCGGCATTCATCCAGCTTTCTCGGGAATGGCTGCATTGCCTTACTTTGATGAAATCGATCCTTCATGCATTGATGTTCTTCTTATTACTCAGTATGCTCTTCCTTCTAGTTTTTCTTTTGTAACTATTGAGACTCACTGTTCCATTTCAAAAAGTTAGCCCTGTTAACAATAGTAATTCAAGCCCTTTTATGTTGGTTAATATTTTCATTTTAATCGATGTGAGATTTTACCCTTAACATGACTCGAGATGATGGTTCATCTAAGCACACCAATCTTAGATCGATTGGTCGTTTAACTTTTTGATGCTCCAAAGTGCTTATTTTATTTCCATCTTAAAAGGTCAACCTTGATGTGTTTGTAATACGACCTTGGACCCTACTTTTTCTGTACTTGTAAACCTAAAATATTCAGCTGCAATTATAACTTTTCTTTTTACATCCGAAGTTATAATCACGAGTTTCTAAATTTTCAGTCTGCTGCGTTCCAACATTTGTGATTCTTTTCATCTCTGAATTTGTTTCTTATTTTATTCTGATAAGTTGCTTTCTGAGTGCAGCTTTCACTTGGACCATGCTGCTTCCCTTCCCTATTTTCTGGAGAAGGTTGGTTTGCTTCATTAAGAATTTCCTTTCAGCCATAATTTGCAATTTTCTTTACTGATATTTTCACTTCTTTTGCTCAACAGACCACATTCAAAGGGAGAGTTTTTATGACACATGCAACAAAAGCAATCTACAAGCTGCTCTTATCAGATTATGTTAAAGTGAGCAAGGTCTCAGTTGAAGATATGTTGTTTGATGAACAAGACATTCTTCGGTCCATGGATAAAATTGAGGTGTCGTATTTGAGATCCTTCATGTGTGGGCATTTATCATTTGCCTAGCTGTTTGAAATTTGGACATTTTAATTACTGTACAACTTAAGCTGTCTGGAATTTGTCTGACATTTACTAAATCCTTATTACAGGTTATTGATTTTCATCAGACTCTAGAAGTTAATGGTATCCGCTTTTGGTGTTATACTGCTGGTCATGTCCTTGGTGCTGCTATGTTTATGGTTGACATTGCCGGTGTTCGTGTTCTCTACACTGGAGATTATTCGCGAGAAGAAGATCGTCACCTTCGTGCTGCTGAGCTCCCCCAGTTCTCGCCGGATGTTTGCATTATTGAATCAACTTACGGCGTTCAACTCCACGAGCCAAGGCATATACGCGAGAACTGAGAAGCGCTTTACTGATGTCATTCACTCTACCGTTACCCAAGGTGGTCGTGTTCTAATTCCTGCTTATGCCCTAGGCCGTGCACAAGAACTTCTCCTGATCCTGGATGAATACTGGTCAAGTCATCCTGATCTTCACAAAATCCCCATATATTATGCTTCGCCACTTGCAAAAAGGTGCATGGCTGTTTATCAAACTTACACTAATGCAATGAATGAGAAGATCAGGAATCAATTTGCCAGTACAGACCCCTTTGATTTCAAGCACATCTTTCCATTGAAAAGTATTGATGAATTTAACGACACAGGTCCATGTGTGGTTATGGCCACTCCTGGTGGGCTTCAAAGCGGTTTGTCGAGACAGCTGTTTGATAAATGGTGCTCGGACAGGAAAAATGCTTGTGTTATACCTGGGTATGTTGTGCAAGGGACATTGGCTAAGACAATAATTAATGAACCTAAAGAAGTTACCCTCACGAATGGCTTGACTGCTTACCTGAACATGCAGGTCCATTATATTTCCTTTTCGGCTCATGCAGACTATGCTCAAACGAGCACTTTCCTGAAAGAGCTGATGCCTCCTAACATCATTCTGGTTCATGGTGAAGCAAATGAGATGGGAAGGCTCAAACAGAAGCTCCTTTCTGTCTTTGCTGATGGCAACACCAAAATCATAACCCCGAAGAACTGCCAATCTGTAGAAATGTACTTCAACTCGCAGAAAATGGCAAAAACTGTTGGAAAGCTGGCTGAAAAGATGCCTTCAGTTGGTGAAACCGTTAGTGGTTTACTTGTTAGAAAGGGCTTCACCTATCAGATTATGGCACCTGAGGATCTTCACGTCTTCTCTCAGCTATCGACTGGGAATATTATTCAAAGGATTACTATCCCCTACTCCGGCACGCTTGCTGTTATAAAATACAGGCTTAAGCAGATATATGAAGGTGTGGAATCATCAATGGACGAGGAATCAGGGGTTCCCACTTTGCTAGTGCATGATCGAGTGACAGTGAAGCAGGAATCAGAAAATCATCTTTCCCTGCATTGGACAGCGGATCCGATTAGTGATATGGTATCTGACTCTATTGTGGCTTTGGTTTTAAATGTCAGTAGGGAGATGCCTAAGTTGGTGGTTGATTCTGAAACTGTAGTAAACCAGGATGAAGACTCGAAGAAAGCTGAAAAAATCGTATATGCACTCCTTGTTTCCTTGTTTGGAGACGTTAAATATGGGGAAGACGGGAAGCTGGTGATCAATGTGGATGGGAATGTAGCTCAACTAGACAAAGAAAGTGGTGAGGTCGAAAGCGAGAACGGCGGTCTTAAGGAACGAGTTAAGATGGCATTCCAGCGAATCAGAAGCGCGGTGAAGCCAATCCCTCTTTCGGGATCTTAGCGTTTCTTATTCATCCCCCCACTCCGACTCTGTTTTTCGTATTTGGTTAGTGTTACTACGAGTTAATTAAATAATCAATCATTAACATTTATCTTCGATTACCACTTGCTCACCCAAAAGTTTAAAGATTACCCATTACTCATTCACGCTTAAACGAAGTTACCGATCCATCATCCTTATCATTTCCATCTATACACATAGGCACAAAAATCTACGTGGCAGATGGAAATCCTACGTGGCTACTAACAGTGTTAAAAATTGACAACTTGGAAAAAATACACTTTGGAAAATTGGGGGTTTTATTTATCTATATCTAATTTTCCCTTAATTTCAATACGGTCTTTTCTCCATTTCATCCATCAACCCATAAAAACCTAGCTGAGTAATAATCAGTACACTTAGCCCCCATTTTTCGAATGGAGGAGGATATGGTTAACTGTCGATTTTACTTCAAGATTGTGCTTGCCGCCATGGCGACCGTTGCTTCTACCTCCAAAATCGCACCCCAATCTTGCCACACTCATTCGCACCAATATATACCGTAGATCGGATGTGATAACCCTTGGCATCGATCGTCGGGTCAGCCTATTGACCCCAAGGAGATTCGAGAGTATTTCGAGGATTTTTTTGAGGATATATTTGAAGATATCAGCAACTCTGTATCCTGCATCTCAATTTTTTTTTTTTTTTTTATCAAATAACTTACTTTCTATGGATTTTCTTCCTTCCGCAGGAAGCTTTCCTACTGGCTTCTTCGAATTCATAAGATTTTGCTCCTTTTGTCAGCTTTCTTCTGTTACATAGCTATCGTTTTTAATTTTTAACATAGATACTAAAGGGATATAATTTAGGAAAAATTGCAGCAGAGGTCCCAAACCTTTAATACATTATCAGACTTTCCTCAAATTTTTAATTTGTTGCAAAGCGAAGACCTTTTTGGATAGTTTTCATCCAAATGTCTGTTAGTTAACTAAAAAATTTGACTTTGACCATATTTTTAAAAGGGTAAAATAGAAACTTTCCATTTATTACAATAAAATAACCTAGAAATTAAATTTAAAAAAAAGGTGGTCTTCTTCCTCTCACCCCACGCCACCCCACTCACCCACGCCACCTCAAACCCAAATTCAGTTACCGACCACCGTTGCAACCGCCACCTTCACCACCACCTCCACTTGAGCCTTTCATTCAATCCAACCACCACTGCGAATTCTCTAGTGTCAGGACCAATCCTTCAACCAGCCGGATCTGCTTCGACACCACAGTTTCGTTCCCACCACCCTCAACAAACCCCAAACATCTATGTGGGTCACACTCATACCCAACACCCAAACAACTCTTACACCATTTTCAGCAACAATAATTTTGCCACCACCACTGCAACTATGATACAGCAACAAAATTTGTACCCTTTTAACACCATGGCTTCTGCCCCTGCATCCAACCGATCGGGTATCACTACTAAGATAAATTGGCTTCAGGTGGCAACGGGGAGGCTGGAGGGTTTAGGCCATCTCCAACCCAGCACCAAATTTTGCACCAAATTTTGTACTAAATCTTCCACCAAACCAAAATTCTTCTCCAACCATTACACCAAAATTTACACCAAATGAACAGTGCTTTATTATTTTATTCATTCTTTCGATTTTTGACAATATATTTATTTTAAAATATTATTTATTTATTTATTTATTTTATAACTATATATATTACTAAATCATAACTTCATTAAATTAACAAATATATTGATTACTATATTATCACATGTCATATATTATGTTAAATTGACAAAAATAATTAATTATATTATTAATTTATGATAAACAATTACGTTAAATTTACAAAAATAATAAACTTTAATAATATAAACTTTACATTAAATTAAATTTTAAACGTAAACTTTACGAATTTAACTTTACGTTAAATTAACAATTACATTAATTATTATTGATTATATTATTAAAAATAATAAACTTTAATAATATAATTTATAGTGTAATTATTATTATTATCATCATTATCATTATCATTATTATTATAGAACGAAAATGACACAAATACCCTTAACCATTATCTTTGAAAAAAGAAAAATAAGGGTAAAAAAGACATTGCACCATTTGGTGCAAAATGGTGCAACATGAATAGTATTGCACCATATTTGGTGCAACACTATTCATTACACCATTTTTTGCACCAAAATTTGGTGCAATGGTTGGAGGAAGTTTGCACCAAAATTTGGTACAATGGTGCAATGGTTGGAGATGCTCTTAGCATTGAGTTTTCCAGAAAAGGGGACGGCCTAGAAAGTACTCACCTGATAACACCATCGGGTTTGGTACGTCCCCAGATCCTACCACCAAGATTTCCTCTGCTGTGGCTCTCACTGATTCTGGTGGTATGGCCCTGTTTAATCGGTGGCCGAGGGTTTGAGGAAGAAGGGGATTATCCTATTTAGTCTTATTTTTTATTTTTTTTATTTAGGAAATGTAATTATTTAACATGAATAATAGAAAGTTACTCTTTTACCCCTTCAAAAAATATTAAAAAATGTGATCAAAGTTAAATTTTTAGTCAACTGACAGAATTTTGGATGAAAACCGTCCAAAAGGGCTTCACCTGCAACGATTGAAAATGTTAGGGGTGACGGCTGCAACGAATTAAAGGTTTGGGAAAAGTCTGCTAGTATTTCAAAAGTTTGGAACTTTTGCTGTAATTATCCCTATAATTTAGGACATTTTACATAAATAATGAAAGCAGTGTAGGAAGGACCATACTCATATACAGACATGGAAAATGGATGGTTAACAGCTGAATTCTAGTAAGCAATAGGTTGGTTTCATTTTCTCAACAAACTTGGGAAGGAGATATTGTTTCTTGATTTCGGATTCAATTGATGAGAAACTGATCTGGGGATGAATTGTGGGGGAAGAAATTGATTTTTGGCTGTGAAAAATGGGAAAATTTAGAACTCGTAGACATGGAAAAGATGAAGAAAATTCTTCCCATCTTAAGAGAAAACGCTTTTGAATTGATTTTGTTTTGTCCAACTGTCATTTTTAATAATGTTAGTGGCCACATAGGATATCTATATGCCATGTGGAATTTCTTGTCCATGTAGACTAACAAAATTGATATGGGTGATGAATGAATAACTTTGTTTAAATGTGAGCGAGTAATATGTAACTTTTTAATCCTAAATGAGCAACTAGTAACCAAAGGTAAATGTTAATGATCAATCATTTAATTAACTCGTGTTACTACACGTAATTTTGTGGTACCTGATGACTCGTTCTCATTAGCAAAGCATGTTTTTACTTTTTATATGTATTCTTACATCTTGTTTGGTCTACTAGTTACTTTTTCTTTTTCCTCCCTGAGTGGTTAACTTTGGTATCCCTTCAATTTTATATAATTTGATATCAATTATACTTTTAAATGATTTCAATCGAATAACTAATTTAGTTTCAATTAAGACAATTTTGGTCAATTGCATTGGTGGAAATCTATAGTTTTGTCATTATAAGGAGTAATAGTTAGTTTTTAATATGAAATATATACAATTTTTTAATGAAATAAATGTTGGACTATCATTTCATCTATTTTTGTTAGTCGAATTAAATGAAGCTACCGATTAAAATTGAATTAAATTATAATGATTAGAATGAAGAAAATTGATATAGAAACTAGAAAAGGCCCGATTAATTAATTCAATCGTTCGTCTTTCTTTTCCTCGACTCACCATCTTCAAATAATTCACCCTCAACAATATATAAATAGCACGCGAACCCTCAAAAGTTCATAATATGCACTGTGCCATTCCATTTTAATAGAAGCTATTATAATCCCAGGATCAAGGATCCGTCACCTCTTTCACTATCATCAAGATCGAGTACAAAATTTAATATCTGCATGCAAAGTGAGAAAATTCTTCCTTCCTTTTGTGTTACTTTTTATTTTGCTTAGACTATGTAGTATATAGTGGTTTATAAATGATGCCCTTTTAAGATAATCGGTGAAATAACAATTTTTTGATTCGTACGAATGTAGATTAGAAGAATTAAGTATAGACGTATTTAATTTGCTTCATGAATTTCCCTTTTTTTTTTTTTTTTTTTAGGCATTCCCATTTGAAAGTCTAGAAGACATTTTAAACATTTTTTTCTAACATGCGCTTGTTTTACTTGTACATCCCAGGGCGTGACAATAAAACACACATGATATGGACACAAGCAAGCTCTTAATAGATAATTCACCACAAAAGTTTTAGTGTTTTCACTATTCTATATGAGCTACCCACATGAATAACTTAAAAATTAGATGTAACAATATGTACGGTTCAGTTTTCCACTTGAAGCTAACTGAAACAGAGACTCACCTCAATTTGGTTAGCAACTTCACATTGAATAGGCCAGCAGACTGATGGAGTACGGAGATCTTGTAAGTGCATATGTTGATTCCCAAGCGAACCAAACAAGTACTTGCAGCCAAGATGCCATCCTACATCTTCTGTGTTAATGAATCTGTTAGTATAAAATATCAGATGGTTGTAAATGAAACCTTGAGTTCCAAGGTTGCGTACTGACAGTCAGAGCAACACAATTAAAAGGAATTAGAAAAATGCCTTTATTACATACCTTAAAATTTGCATTGCATGGAAAACCTTAATATTCGAAGATGCATGGATGTCCCATCAAGCATATTTTGGCACATTCCAATTCACTCGTAGGAGAAATTATGTCCTTTAAATTGAACAAGGTTCGGTCCAAAGGCCTCTCCATATCCATTGCCACAATGAGATAATTAAGTTTGACTACATGAAGAAGAGTGACCTATTAATTTAGGAGAAAAGCAAGCATACAGCCGCTCTGCATCTTTTCTTACAGGATTTTCCTCAAATCCAAAAATGACAGTTACTGAAAATATCATCGGGACTTGTATAGTTCTTTGATTTGTTTATCCAGGTCACTCAACATGCTGTAAATCATGTTTATATTAGGGTGAAAATAATCTCCAGCTACAAATACATTTTTCCTCCTTCCCACTTCTATCCAACTGCACCCTGCTGGCTTTTTCAGGTTTTTCATCTTCATCAATCGTCTCGTCTCTAATACCCCATCCCATCTGGCATCTGCAGCATATAAGTTTGACAAAACTATGTAGTTTCCAATGTCACTGGTTTCCATTTTTGACAGGTGATCAGCCACAACACGACCAATATCCACCTCATGGTAGGTTTTGCAAGCACCAAGAAGTGTACCCCATATGTTGGCATTAGCTGCAACAGGCATTTGATTTACAAAAGTAAATGCTTCCTTGACTTGGCCTCCTCGAGCAAGGAGATCCACTGTACATGCATACTGTTCCATGCTCGGTTTCATATGATATACCTGCTCTATTGAATCAAAAATCATTAACCCTTCATTAATAAGACCAGCATGACTACAAGCAGATAATACGGCAGTTATTATGACATGATCTGGTTTTACACCGAACTCAAGCATATGATAAAAAACTCCAAGAGCTTCTTCTCCCATGCCATGCATTGCATATCCTCCAACCATAGCCGTAGACACAACCAGGTCTCTTTCAGGCATTGACTTGTAGAACTTATATGCGCTATTAATATTTCCACACTTTGAATACACATCTAATAAAGCTGCCTTTAGATGGACATCCTCAAAATAAGCCCTGACTACGTATCCATGACACTGCCTTAACATGTGGAGTGAAGCCTTTTGAGTACAAACAGGAAGAATACTCATAATTGTCATGGCATCAGGTTTTAGTTCATGAAACTGTAACTCTTGAAACAAATTGAGAGCTTCATCAGGAAATTGATTTTGTGCATAAACCTGCAGCATGAGATTCCAAGTTGTAAGATCCCTCTCCGGCATGCTCTGGAATAGCAAATTTGCATCATCTTGCAAACCATTAGCCGCATATCCCGATATCATGGAATTGCATGTAATCACATTTCTATTTCTGGATAAACTCTCAAAAAGTTTCGATGCAAACACCATATTTCCACATTTGGCATATGCATCAAGTAATGCATTTGCAAGGGTGGGTTCAGCACCACTAAGCAAAAGACCAGATCTTAATGAAAACCCATGAGCTTCTCTAATCTTATCTACTATGGAAAGACTACTCAAATATCGAACCACAGCTAAGATAGTAACTGAATCAGGTTTTATTCCTTCACGTAACATCCAATTTAGGACTTCAAAAAACTCAGTGTCAAGTACATTTTCACATAATGCATCCAGCAGGGTGTTCCATGATATTACATCTCTTCTAGGAATAAGTAAAAATGTCGAGAACGCAGCTTCTATGCAGCCAGATTTTGCATAAATGCTTATTAGGGCATTTCCTACAGATGTATCCTCAAATAGGGCGCGACGACGAACAACAAACCCATGAATTTGCTTCCCCACATGCAGATTAGATAGCAGGGCACAGGCGGGGAGAATGCTGAGTAGGGTAACAGAGTCTGGTTCAATCTTCTCCACAACAAGAAACTCTTGAAACATCTGCAATGCTTTTAACCATTCACCATTTGAAACGTATCCAGCAATTATTGAGTTCCAGGAAACCAGGTCCCATAACTTCATCCTCCAAAACAAGGACTCTGCTTCTCTTATTTGTCCCAATCTCAGGTAGCAACTTAAAAGAGCATTAACAACAGTAACTTCATCACCTAATTCAGCATGTCTCAAGACATAACAGTGGATCTCTTTTGCATATCTATACCCCACAATCTCTCCCAGACCAGAACAGATAGAAAGAATATTCGCAACTGTTGCATAATTAGGTACTATTTGCCCTTTAATCATCCACTGAAAAAGTTGAAAAGCATCATCCACAAGCTTATTCTCAGCAAAACCTGCAATGACTGCATTCCACGAAACAACATCTTTGTCAGCAATTCCATGAAAAACAGAAGATGCATCTAAAACAAGCCCACATTTTGCATACATGGACACTATAGCATTTCCTACCAGTGTCAGAGATTCCATTCCAGACTTTATTGCATATGAATGAATGCACTTTCCAGCACTCAAAGCACCAGAGCGTGTATACACTGGAACAACAATAGCAAGAGTAACAGAGGTCGGCTTAGGGTCACAAGCAAAATGCAGCCTACGAAACAACTGCATCGCCTTATTATCATCCTTTAGTGTACCAGCAAACCCAGACAATAGAATGTTCCAAGTAACAATATCACGACTATTAATTTCACCAAACAATTTCTGACAATCTTCAAGAGCTTTACATTTAGCATACATGTTAAGCAACGCTTTCAAAACAAACTGGCATGAATTATGACCTTGCCTAATAACTTGACCATGAAGAGTTTTCCCCAAACTGGTACCAGATATTGCGGCACAGGATTTAAGAACATCTGCAAACACTTGATAATTGTGTTTACAACTTCTTGAACATTTTAACTTTTGAAGAACCAGTTCGAAAGCTCCATTCATCATACCTATGACTTCTATGCATAATCAAAGCATCAAAATTGCATCAATTCAACTTTTACTTATATCCGAAGCAAGTCCTTCCCCCCAATACAATGACAAATTAATTAATTTTCAGAAATGCTTAGTATCGTACCAGAGGATTGCTTGAAGGTAACAAGGTGGAATATCTTTGTTGATGATTTGGGGAAATTTTAGAGAGAGAAAATTAGGGCTTCAATATACACTAGTAGGCTATGGGAGAGAAAATTGCAAATATTTGAGAATTTTAGAAGGCCATTTTTAATAAGAAATGGGATAAAATAAAATTTGTAACTACTTTTGAGTTTGTGTAAATAAATTTTTTGATAAATATTCCATTTTTACTTCAAAAACATGACCAAATTTTCATGTCTTTTCATATAAATTATAAACTTTTGAAACGTTCTAATCAATTTAAACAAAGTTGGCAACAATTTCTAGTCCATCAAAGACACTTTGACGAATCTTTTTGAAAAATTATTATGTCTCATAATCGTCATCAAAATAAACAAAATGGCAAGAATTTCTAATACAGATAAATATTTTAGTCTTCCTCATTAATTTCGCCTTAAATTGTCTCGAAGATATTTTCACAAAAAGACACTTCAACCAATATTTAGCCCCATTTTGATTTTTTCACTAAATATCAAATTTATAGTAAATTTTAATAAAAATTGATAAAATCTAAAATTAAAAAGTTAATAAAAATTATAAATAGTCTTGCATAGACAATTTTTATGAAGCGTAGACCTCGCAAAAGATAACGAATTGATTTGATAGCTCAAATATTATTATTCATGATATTGATCCAATTGAAAATCATTGACTCTAGAAATGTGAAATTATAATTAGTTATCACCTATGGGTTAAATTTTTATCAATTTTTTTAACTAATGCATTAAAAAAAGAAAAAAAAAAAAAAAAAAGGGATTTATTCTTGGGTTACAACCCGCACAGGCTTTAGCCAAAACAGAAGTGTTTTCAGCTAACCACTAACATACCTAGGCTAGGTTGCAGCCCGAATCAAGAACTGCATTCGGTATGATAGAAAAGAAATTCAAAATCATAACTTAATACATAATAATACATCTCTACAGAAGAAATATGCCCCAAATACATTCTTCGTAAATAAACATTAGGTTCCTCTAGTGGAGTCATCTCCGGGTAGATCATCTTCGTCGTGATAAATATTCTCAGCCATTTGCCAGATTTGTAGTATGTTATCCTCGGCCACGCTTGCAACCACCCAATCTTCACATGGGTTCCACGAGAAGTCTGAAATTTTACTTGTATGACCACCGTGAATAAAAAGCAACTCTGGAGGCCCATCTTCAGCATCCTCTGGCGTCTGTTCTGCATCAATCCTGCAAAAGAGAAACCAGTAAGGCAGATCTTACAGCAAGCCATAGTGGTACAGATTCAAGTTTAAAAGCTCGGAATTGGACAGTCGTTTGGGAGAAGCAGTGCATGGGAACCAGAATTCTCTAAAAAGTTGAAAACTAAAATACCCCACTACTTCAAAAATACCACGAGTATCCATGACCCCATTAAAAGTAGTGCCTCTATTACTGAATATGAAGAATTACCTGCTAAGATCCCACACCATGAGTCGCCTACCAAGACAACAAGAAGCTAAGATGGTCTCGTTCTTTGGATTCCATCCAACCTGGAAAACCTCCTCCCTGTTGTGCAACCACGGGAATAAGATAATGAAGAATAGGGACAACATTTCATGTCTATATTTTGTTAAAGCATAGATATCCCAACATTTCATGCTTAATAGACTACTGACTTAAACAATTTCCATAGAAACCAAAATCAAAAAATATATCTTACTTGTGACAATCAAAGGTATGAAGTGAAGTTGAAATCTTGCGTAGATCGAATAACTTAACGGTCTTGTCAGTAGACCCCGTTGCCACAACCCACTCGTTGAAAGGATTGAAAGATAAACAGTTCACCTACCAACAGAAAAATCATTGACATTTATTCTGCTAGTAATACACATTTTTATAAATTCAAATACTATCCAAGAAAACTAAATGTGGAATGTAAGTATCAGGAAGTAAAATTTAATGCATACACCCTTTCCACAGGAATGGAATGTATAGAGAGATCGGTAAAATTTTGAGGTTTAAGGAATACAGAGCTTCCTCCAGCCTTCGTACTTATTAGCTGAAGCAGAACAAGGAATAGCGTGTCTGTGGGGAACATAATGCTAACCAGCTAATTCACGGAACAAGTTAGGCAGACTTAATATGCACCAGATATATTTGGGGCTCCTGTAAGGGCTCACTTAAGTGATCGGTTGCAATAACTGGCCAAAAAAAAAAAAAAAAAAATTCAATTCTTTTACTGTTGCTGGTTTATATTTTATAGCAGGCAAATTAGGAGTTGCATCGAGTATCCAAGCGTCCAAAGTCAGCAGCCTAAAGCAGATAGAGAGAAGAAACATATAGCAGTAAAAGGGATTTCCCTTTCAATAGTCTAGAAGACTCATTTTTATAGAACTTATTTCTCAGTTCCTGGATTTGAAAATGTGAGAATTCTAAATAACAGATCGTGATAATACATGATATAAATCTTGGTGAGCGTGTGCTTTTAACTGATGAGGTCACCCAAAAAGTATTTTTGATGCTTCAATAAGATCAAGTTTTATTATTGTATAAAACTACTCATATGAATAACTTAGAAATCAGATATATCGATATAAACAGGCCAGTTCTCCACTTCAGCAGAAATATGGAATTGCAACTGAGACACACCTCACTTTGATGAGCAACTACAGATTGAATAGGCTTGCTGCCAGATGGAGTACGGAGATCCCATATGTGCAGGTACTGATCATCCCCAGCCGAACCAAACAAGTACTCATGCCTGAGATGCCATGCTACATCTTCTACAACACCTTCATGAATCTACACATGGATAATTGTCAAACAAGCCATAAAATTTCAAGATAGAAAATTAAGGACAACCATTCGAGAGACAAGATTTTCTGTATAATGAAAGATCAGGGTAACACAATCAAAAGGAATTATTACATGTCTTTATCAGTACATACCTTAAAAATTTGCATGGCATCCAGAGTCTTATTCCTTGGAGTTGCATTGATGTCCCACAGGCATATTTGGGAGTCATCTGAGCCACTCAATAGATGACCCTGCTTGAATTGACTCCATGATAAACCATAGCCTTCTGTATTGTGACCCCTCAACCTCAAATCAGGATTGCAAGCACCATCTAAAGGAGGCTTAGACGGATGTTTGCTATAATCAAAAACATATACTTCAGCACTAACTGTCTTGGTGGCAATAATGAATGGGTTTTGGGGCATATAACGAGCCCGATTAACCTCCCCATCATGATTTATTTGCTGAATTATTTGCACCTGCAAGAATATTGTTCAGCAGTCCGTACGTATAGCTAGTACATGCCACTAAGGGCAAAGCAGAAACATACATGGAAATTCTCTTCATCTCAATCATGATTATTCACTAAGGAGCACAATTCCATATTTTTTTAGAAGAGAAAACTAAATATGAAATTGTTTTTTAATAAGCTTCTAAGGAAAATTCATAAACACACAGAGTTGGTGTCACTGTCATTAATTCAGCTTCTAAGGAAGTTCGTAAACAGCAAGTTTCAAACTTTTTTAGAATATGACAATGTTGTAAATTCAGTTTCTAAGGAAAAATGCATAGACCTCAAATTCAAATGCAAATAGATATTCCATTTTTCAACTTTAACTCCATGCTGGCAATACAGAGTCCTTGACCACGTAGGAACACTTCAAAATCTGAACTCATGACACAATCAAACCCTAGAACGAGTAGCTTTTTCCAATTTCAAAAACTTTCTCACCAATAATCAGAAAATAATATGTCTGCAACAATTCCCCTCCCACCAGATCACAATACAATCAATTAGCAGGAGGTATAATACTTATTAAGCTAAAAAAATCCATCATAAACCTCAAATTCACATTTAATTCCGAACGGTTTAAAAAAAATAAAAGCCTTGCGTTGTCATTCATGCAGCCAAAACACAGAATGGAAATTTACAATCAATTTACCAAATTAAAAGCACAACGCAAAACAATTAATGAGAGCTTAAAAAGAGAAACCCACAAAACAATAATCCATAAAAGTTTACCTTTCCATTTGCGCACCCAAATCCCCCAAAATCCGATCGATCATCATCATAATGGCGGGCATCATTTTCAGCATCCTCTAGCGGGAGCTGGACCTGGGCCAACATTAGATAATTGGGTTCATTCTCAGAAGTGTGAGTCCCAAGAATCATCTTCTGGACGGAATATTCCTTCCCCGGAGGCTCTTCCCTGTCCGGCAGCCATTCAACGGTGAGCGACGGCCACTCAAGCGCGTGAGTAATCACCAGATCGTAAAGAAACGGAGTGTTCTTCTTCCAAATCTTGTACTCCTCGTTAATTAGCCTCTCCTCAATCTCCCCCCGCATCTCGTCCTCGTCTCGCCCCATTTTTCCCTTTCTCCTTCTGGGTTCTTTAAATTGAATGAAGTTATTGAAAAGTCAGAAAATTTCAAGTCTGAATTTTCAGTTTGGACAGATTTTAGCTTTCTCTGGGGTACGGTGGCTGTGCGGTTCGGCCTTTGTGGGTAGTCTCGGCGTGAATTTTGACAGGGTTGGGAAATTGGAGGGAACAAGATTTTTCTAGTGGCACTACGCAGTAGGCTTTTACTTTCTGCGCTTTGCCATGAATGACACTACAGTAAAATTACGTAAAAATCTTTAAAATCGGCTATAAACAAGCACAAAATTTTTATTTCGCATTATTATTGTCTTTAAAATTGTTTCAAACTATTTTTCTTGTTTTCCCGAAACATTTAATAATTTAGCCCTTGTATGGAGCTGCTTCTTCAACGAATTTTAAGAAAAAAATAGAACTGTTATCTTTGATCGTGGACCCCATGTAAGTATTATGCCCTAGGTCCAATCAACTTTGGACATAAATAATTTTATATATAATTAATGCAATTAAATGGCAGATCTATTATTTAATTAATAGACAATTAAATAAATAATAGAGTCCGTAGATTCAAATATTTGTAATTTGTACCAGGATACTCTATGTGCCGGAATAGCTGGTAGTTTATGATGGATACCGTTACCTGGAGAAGGACATGCTTAATTTGTGAATAAAGACCGTACTGAACTCGAACTTCTTTCGATTTAATATTAATATTGTCTATGTTAGATAGTCAACCTTGTCAAACATCCATCAAAGTTTAGTAGTAGGTGTAGTGAAAGTGTAAACAAAAGACCTATGTCAGCTAGACTTGGGGTAAATGATGGGCTTCACCAGCCTCATCTTTATCAAACTTATTTGTCTTTCGTCTTCCAAAAAACTAATGGGTTAACCATTTGGGATGGAATTGAAGCTAGGCCCCAGACTTCACCATGTGACAGGATGAGTTAAAATAAAAGAATTGTAGGGACAATTTTTGTAAAATTTCAATTGTGAGGCAAAAATTGAAAATTAAAAAAAAAAATGAAAATCTTAAAAAAATTTAGGCAAAATTTAAAATTTAGTGTGGGGACAGTTGACTCCATTGCCCCCACACTACATTCGTCCCCGCAGTATGAACGCACAAGATGGATCCCCAATTGCAATCGAACAAAGTTTGTGAGTCCTAAGTTGGAAATTGATGGCTAGAAAAATCTAGGATTGGCTCTTAAGGCAATTATGCTGCGATAATCAATTGAGTCTTGATAGAGCATGTCCTCCTAGGTTTGAGGAAGAGGGGTGAAAATTTTATCCCTTGAAGGGAACCGTGATGATATGATACTTCGTTCAAAGAAGGGATTATTGAAAAAGCACAACACATAAATTATGGGCCTAAAAGAAATTAAATTACTCCACCTAATTGGTAAACCACAATTCCCGTAGGAAGGCTCGAGATTTACTAATTGATGTCATCTTTGTTTTGCAATAGGTATAAGATTTAAGAATTAACAAATAGTTTAGACAAGATTATTTACTTAGAAAACCTTTCCTCTCCATATATTTGATACGTTAAATTGAATTGTATTCGACGTCGCTAAAAGGCATCGCCAAAAGCTGAAAGAACTTCAATCTTGTCCCATAAAATCCATCCGATACCTCGATTAGAACAAGCATCCCCCTCAAAAACAGATTTACCATTTTTACAAAATGAATTTTCAATAAAAAAAAAACTTACATCTTCTGTGCCACCATTTGCTTGCAAGATATCCCATTTAATTGTGATGTTCCCATTAGGATCCATTGAATCATAACCATCTGGAGGGATTATTGAAAAAGCGCAACACATAAATTATGGGCCTAAAAGAAATTAAATTACTCCACCTAATTGGTAAACCACAATTCCCGTAGGAAGGCTCGAGATTTACTAATTGATGTCATCTTTGTTTTGCAATAGGTATAAGATTTAAGAATTAACAAATAGTTTAGACAAGATTATTTACTTAGAAAACCTTTCCTCTCGATATATTTGATACGTTAGATTGAATTGTATTCGACGTCGCTAAAAGGCATCGCCAAAAGCTGAAAGAACTTCAATCTTGTCCCATAAAATCCATCCGATACCTCGATTAGAACAAGCATCCCCCTCAAAAACAGATTTACCATTTTTACAAAATGAATTTTCAATAAAAAAAAAACTTACATCTTCTGTGCCACCATTTGCTTGCAAGATATCCCATTTAATTGTGATGTTCCCATTAGGATCCATTGAATCATAACCATCTGCATTACAGCTGAAATTCACATCATAACAAATTTTGAATAATTTCAAAATCACTTTAAAAAAATTACTTACAGGTTGGTGACAGCAGACAAGCGACAGAGAACAAGTAGAACAGAACATCTAAATGTTTAACGTTAAGAATCAAAATAAAAACCCGCAAATCCATTTCCACAGATCGTCTGCTGAATCCTCTGTCTCTTGGATTAGACATAAAACCTACGACTTCTGTCTGTGTGTTCTGTAAAGAGATATAGATATAGATACATATAGAGAGAGACACGTTTAATCTTTGGAAAAGGAAGTAATAAATCACACAATTAATGGGGTTCGGAACAAGTAAGGAACATGTTTGTCATATTTAGAGAGAGCGGTAAGAATGCGTCTATTCAAAAGTCACGCATTTGGCTCCGTTCTCATTGGCTTGCCGTTTTTGTATTATGAGAAAAACTTTTACAATTTGTCATCAAAAGTATTCATATTTATATCTACTAATTACTGCCATTTAAATGCTTGCTTTGAAAAAAGTAGATGCCAATTCCATGCAGTGTATTTATGTGATTGTTATGAAAATCAACAATCCATTTCCCTTAATATCGTGACAGCCTTATTTTGCTTTTAATGCTGCTTAATTTATAGTGGCAATGGGGATTAAAGGATTTTAATGGAAATTTTATTTTAAAAATTAAACACAGTTTTAAATAAAGTAATATTATTTGTACATCATTTTTTTACATATTGATGATGTGGAAGAGGGACAAAAAGGGAAAAAGTAAAAAAAAAAAAAAAAGAGATGTAAAGAAAAAGAAATCAATTAATATAATCTACACCATCAATATGTACACAATGAATAACCCCGCATGGTCCAGGTTGAATCAGCAATGTTGAAATTCTCTGCAGGGGGATTCGTTTGTCAGGTCAAAGAAAAAAATTGTCTACTTGTTTTGAGGAAATGGTGGCAGATAACCATAAAAAACATATAATTTTTCAAAATTGTCGTTGAACACTGTTTAAAAAAAAAAATTGTAAAAACTTTAAAAACATTGAAAACCAAAAATTGTCCTTGACATTTCACTCTCAAACTGACGTTTAGAGAAAGAAGGGGAAGAAAAAACAAGGAAATCGACGAGTTTTTCTTGGGAGGAGACCGACCGGCCACCATTAGAAGTGAAGAAAGTAAGTTTTGCTTATTTTTTCCCCCATTAATCTTTGAACCTGAATGTTAAAAAGTTTATTTTGTTGGAAATAGTGGTAGAAATCTTTGTAATTACTAAAAAGTAAGTTATTTTATGGTTTGGTTATCAGAGATCGCCGGAAATGGCGATCTCTGGCAAAGGCTGTCTGTTGTAGACGACCACAAGAAGACGGGATGTGCTGTCTATTTAACAGACGGTCGTCTGTTAACAGACTGCTTGGACCGTCTGTAGTATTAATTTTTTATTTTAATTTCTTACATGAGAATTAAAATAATTGAAATGTTGTTAAATTATTATTTAAATAATTATTTAATTATTATTTAAATGATAAAAGAAAAATGTAAATAATTAATAAATGTTAATAATCAAAATACGCAATTAAAATTTAATTACAGATTAATTGAAAGAAATTTCTAACATTTGAAATAAATAATTAAATATTTACGTTTACTTGTTCAATAAATAATTTAAATAATCGATCTATGTAAGTAATTAAATCAAATAATTTAAATGAACAATTGAAATGAAAAATCATTGGAATAAATAATTAATTGAAACTCAAAAAAATAAATAATGAACATTTAAATAATAATTAAATGATTATTTAAATGATAAATAAATAAATATTATTAATCAAAATACGCAATTAAAATTTAATTGATACAAATTTCTAACATTTGAATTAAATAATTAAATATTTACATTTGCTTGTTCAATAAATAATTTAAACAATCTTTCCATATAAGTAATTAAATTAAATAATTTAAATGAACAATCGAAACAAATAATGAAAAATGATTGGAATAAATAATTAATTGAAATGCACAAAAATAAATAATGAACATTTAAATAATAATTACATGATTATTTAAGTGATAAATGAATAAATGTTAATATTGAAAATATTAATTAAAGCTTAATTGAAATAAATTTCTAATATTTGAAATGAATAATTAAATATTTACCTTTGCTTGTTCAATAAATAATTTAAATAATCGATTCATATAAGTAATTAAATTAAATAATTTAAATGAACAATTGAAACAAATAAATAAAAAACAATTGGAATAAATAATTAATTGAAACGCACAAAAATAAATAATGAACATTTAAATAATAATTAAATGATTAATTAAATGATAAATGAATAAATATTAATAATCAAAATATTAATTAATGTTTAATTGAAATAAATTTCTAACATTTGAAATAAATAATGAAATATTTGCGTTTGCACTTGTTCAATAAATAATATAAATAATCGATCAATATAGGTAATTAAATCAAATAATTTAAATAAACAATTGAAACAATTAAATGAAAAACAATTGGATAAAAATAATCAAAGTAAGTAATTAAAATGTAGATAAACAATTGAAATAAATATCTAACATTTAAAATAAATAATTAAATATTCGCTTAATAATTAAAATAAATATTGAATAAACAACTAAAGAAAAATATAACAAATAATTACATATTTACGTTTAAATGTTAAATAAATAATTTAAAGAAAATAATTAAATATACAATTATAATAAATAATTAAAATTAAGCATTCAATAAACAATTAAAATAAATCTTAAATAAACAATCGAAATAAATAATTTAGATAAGTAAGAAATATAAATTTTCAAAATAATATATTTAAATATGTAATTAAATATAAATAATCAAATTTAATTAAATAAAGAATTGAAATAAATTTCTAACATGGATTAAAATAAACTATGAAATAAATAATTTTACAAAAATTAGTTTTTCCCTTTTTTATAAGTTGTTG